GGCGCCACGGGCAGCGGCGGGTGGGCGATGGCGGCGCTGGTGGTGGCGGTGCTGGTGGCGGCGGTGCTGGTGGGGGCCGAGGCGCAGTGCCCGGCCCCCAGCGCCCTGCGGACGGCCAATGGCACCCGCATCTGCGCCCAGCTCTACACCGACAACAGCCCCTACTACGACCAGTGCTGCGGGGGGTCCGTCCTGGTGGTGGACTGCGGCGCTGACGTCCCCTACATGCCCCACAACTGGTCCGCCACCATCTCCTCCTTGGTGGTGGGCACCCGCTGCGAGCTGACTGTCTGGTCTCGGGCCGGCAAGAAGGGGAAGAGTCGGCGTTTTGGGGCTGGCACGGTGCCGCGGTTGCAGGAGGTGCAGCGGGGGCTCTTCGGCAACTGGAACAACGCCATCAGGGGTTACTACTGCAAGTGCAACTGAGGCGGGCGGCACAGGGCGGCGCGGGTCAACACCAGTCAACGTGAGTCAGCACGAGTCAACGCGGGCCAGTGCAAGTCAACGTGAGTCAACGTGGGCCGAGACAAGTCAACGTGAGTCAACGTGGGCCGAGACAAGTCAACGTGAGTCAATGCAGGCCAAGACAAGTCAACATTAGCCAACATGAGTTGACGTGGTCCAACACAAACTCGGCCAAGACAAGCCAACATGAGTCAACGTGGGCCAATACAAGCCAATGTGGGCCAAGACAAGCCAACACAAGTCCAGGCAAGTCAACGCGGGCCAAGACAAGTCAACGTGAGTCCGCACAGGTCACCGTGAGTCCACATGGGTCAAAGCTGACAGATGTGGGCTGACATGTGTTGACGTGGCATTGCCACCCCCCCTCGCCCCCCCCAACCTCGCACAGCTCCGAGCACAGCCAATAAAGCCTGGAGGCCACAGCAGCTCCTGCCTCGCGGGTGCTTTATTGGGGGGCAAGTGGGGTGGCGGGAATCACCCTGCAGGCATCTTTGGGCAGGGAAAGGGGGGTCCTCATGACCATCACCCCGTGACCCCCCTCCTCCTCCAAGCAGCAACCTGAGGCGGGGGCACCGGGGGGGTTCCCACACACTCAGCCATGGGTGGGTCACGCGTGTGGGCAGACGTGCACGTCTTCCTCACCTGCACACGCATCACACGTGTACGTGGGCACGTGCACACACGTGTGTGACCGTACACGCACACGCTACCCGTGTCTGCATGTGCAGCCCCCCCCAAGAAACGACATGGGACACAGCTGTCTCCAAAAGGACACGTGTAATCTCCGGGGGTCCCCGTGCCGGCCCCAGGGCCCCCCCATACCGCAGCGTTACAAAACGACAATATAAATAGCTCTGTTAAAAAACAAAATGGGAGGAAAAAACAAAAACAAAACAAAAACAAACCCCAAAAGAACAAAAACGTGTTTGGAAGGGGGGGCGGTAAGGACCCCGAATCAGTAGTGTGGCCACGGGGCCGTAGTGTTGGGGACACGTCCCCCCCCACGGAGATGCAGGTGGTGGCCCGACCCTGGGGTCGGATGGGGATAAAAAAAAGGGGATTTAAAAGAAAAAGAAAGGGGGGAGATGCCCCAAACGGCTCCCCAGGGTGGGGGTGACACTGGGTCCAGGGTGGGATAAGCCCCCAGCCCCAAATCTCTGCCGGGAAGCAGGGGGGGAACACCGAGATGGTGTCACCGTGCGGCCTCGTCGCTGTCCCTGCCCAGAGCATCGGTGAAGTTGCTAAAACCGAGCCGTCCCCCCCCCCCAGCCGCTCCCCGGCTCAGTAGTATGGTGCAGGGGGGTCTGTGCCCCCACCAGCGCCCCGACAGTAGTGGCACAGTCACGAATCCAGTTAAGAGGCGACGGTGAGGGCGAGGAGGGCGCCGGGGCGGCCGCCAGCGTTGCCGGCTCCTCACCGCATGCGGTTTTGGCGCATGAGGGGGACGATGCAGGAGGGGGGCCCAGCTTTGCCCAGGAAGGGGTGCTTCAAGAGTTCGTTGGCGGTGGCCCGCTGCACCGGGTCCCGCACCAGCATGCGGTCGAGGAAACCTTTGAGGGAGGGTGAAACCTGCGGGGAGGGAGCGGGGCGGCCGTCAGCGATGTCCCGGGGGGGGTGGACACGTCCCAGGGGACCTCGGGGAGCCCCCAGAGAGTTTCCCCCTCCCCAAGATGCCCCGTCACCCCCCTTTACCTTGTGCACATTTTTCAGTTTGGGGGGCAGATTGTCTCGGATCATTTTCATAGCCTTTAGCGGTGGCTCATTAAAATAGGGCGGCTCCCCGTCGACCATCTCGATAACCATCACACCCAGGGACCAGATATCCACCTGCGGGGTGGGGGGAACAGGGTAAAGTCAGGGGTTAATT